CTGCCTGTTTCACACACTTAGACCAACAGGGGGTTTGTGTTCAAATGAAGCCCATGATGAAGCCTCGTGAGATGAACCCTTTTGCGAACCAATTGGCTGGAAAGCTTCAAAGCTTCATAAGGCTTCATCTCGCCATCATAGTGTAAACCAAACACTCACAGGCTGCCTGTGTGCCCTGTGGCTGATTAAAACATAAGTGACAAACATTTCACTGGCGTTTTAAAGATGGCTGACGGTCCCTCATCAAAAGAGTCCCAAGGGAAACAAAATACTGGAACCGGTTCCCTCCCAACTGAGACCTATTTTTCATTACAACCTGCACAACTAAAGACATATCTTAAAGCTTCATGATTGAAATAAATAAATAGAAAATAAATGAATAAACAACCAAAATTAACTCCACAGTATTACTCATCCATCACCAAGTGTGTAACTGACAACGGTATCTTCATTTCACGTGTTTCTTCCTCTCACACTCGTGTCCTTTCCTTGTTTAACCTTTGTGCTCTCGGCTAATATGATGAGACTTTGCTTTAGCTGCTTTAGAAGTACCCATGTCCTTCCAAACAACACAGGAACTGGTAGAAGATCACACACATGAATACAAAGGTTATTTCACACAATTCTTGCATAAAAAACGTAATGAACACAATTTTGAAAAATGGCAGGTAATTGACACGGATGATAGCCGACAGATGGCAACAGCCTGCTTAATGCAGCTGAACAGCAAATACACTAATTGAAATATAAATACCACCAATAGCAGAGGTAGGCTGTAATGATATTGTACGCAGCAGATGGACATCTCTCTCTGTTAAATCACTCGCCTGAAGAATTGTCTTGTTTGCTTGTGAAAAATAATAAACCTACACTATTGATGTTTTGGAGCCTGAAAAGAAGAGGATGGGCCTGAATGCTTTGTGTGACCCCTAAACCCACCTATCTAACTACTCTTTATTATAACAATAGAGATGATTTCCTTGTCTTTAATTCCCAGATTGCCAAACCGACATAACAAAAGAAAATTGGGCTCACTTAGTACATGACACGGTAAAACTCCTATAACTCATCCATAAGCATTTAGTAATTGATTGCATAACAATGAATATAAATGACAATGAGGAAGGATGAAAACAGCTTGTGAACAAACAGCTGGCTGCTTTCGAGTCATTTTGTCTGCGTGGTCAGTTCTTACTGGTTTGATGTTAACTGTTTGTCTTCTCAAAGCGCAGAATAAAGGCTGGAGACAATTGCGTCCACTGTGAAAGCTACTTTACACACAGTACAGCATGACTCAATGCCACACCAGTCCCCTTTTCTCTTTTAATGAGTATCTACGGTTTTTCAGCATGGTTGTACACATTTAAGTAATTTTTTAAGTATTTGTCATTAGTAGACGTGCTTGCAACTGTCAATCGTCTGATAAGAATACATAAAGTAACATGATGAATAGAGAGGGAGATTGATGAGGTGGTTTCAAGAGGCAGAGAATTTAATCATGAGGATACAAGAAAAACCACGACCATCTCCTCATGGCTCTTCACTCTATTACTGTCACACACGACACACAAATGTGGCTTTGAAACAAGTCAACAAACAGCATGACACACGGCAGCACACGCAGGGGGATAACTTTAAGACATTTGACTGCAGTCTGTTTCTTCTATCATAGGCTTTTATTTGAGACGTATGTCCATATCAACAAAAAGTTGAGTTAGAATATATGTCTACATTTGTTTATTCAAAATCCACAAACACAACAGTAGTCTTAGCTTGTACACCACATAACCTTAGCCCTAGAAGTGGAAGATCTAATCATTTGAATTATTTTTGGTTGAAACCATAAGACTTGTTATGTAGCTAAGTTATAATCTTACAGTTACTAATTCTCATTTATATTCAGTTGGACAAAGGTGTTGACCTCAATGTGCGGAGTCCATTATGTTATCCAATATGATAAATTCAACAAATGTGTAAAAGCCAGGGTTTTTGTTATTCATTGGACTTGAGTTTTTTAATAACACTTTTTAAAACAAATGGACTGTGGTGTGTGGTTGAGACTGTGAGGGGAAGATGGTATCGGCCTGTGTACATACAGATACGCTGGACCAATGATTTTTACCGAACTGACGTTAAATGGAAGTTCTTGTCGCAGCATTCCACACATATAAAGACTCTCAAATACTCTACCATCACCTTGGCTTTGAGTCCCTTCTTTTCTCAAAAGCCCCTGTACATATTGCTGCTTCTCTTTTCCTTCGCTGCTCTGTTGCGCGTATGCTTTATGTATTAGTACTTCAACCATGCTCCAATAAAGGTCAGCCTGTTTGAGAGATACCAACCCGTTTGACTCTAAGTTGACAATTACGACAAGACTGTAAAGCAAAAGGTGAGAAGAGGGCCGTGAAAGAGAAAAAAGACTCTTGCCGACTGAACTCAGAAAAGATCATCTGTATCTCTGAGTGTCAAAAATAGAGAGGTCGTGTGTGAGCCATTGTGGCAGATGTGGGTTGGAGAAAGATGGAGGGTGCCAGAGGGATTTTTCAGACAGTAGCCTACTAAGCAGAAATAATAAACAAATAGGAAAAGACAGTAGTTACATGCCTTGGCATCTGTAATAAATCACCAATATTGTATAACTACCAAAACATTTTACTACACCAGTGACCATCAACTGGCGGCCCGCGGGCAACATCCGGCCCGCCACACATTCTCATCCGGCCCGCACGGCGGAGGTGACTGTGGCGTTGGCGGAGTGGTTAGTGCGTTCGCCCCCCACTCATTTTTTTTGTCTCGTGAGTAATGTGCAATACCGGATTCCAACAGAGAGGCAGCAGCTGCGGGACGGTAGACTGCGTACTACGTAGCCTTCCCTGCCGTGAAGAAGAAGTGATCCTTCGTTAGCGTGAAAAGTCTGCTAAGCTTTATGCGCTCCGCAGTACCTGATCCGGCGAGTTGGCAGTACATGAGCGTGCTCCACTAGCACCTCCCCCCCCTCCCCCCAACAGAGTCCAACAGAGAGGCAGCAGATGCGGGACAGTAGCACTGCGTCCAGAGTCTGCTTTATGCGCTCCGCAGTACCCCCGCTACGAGGCTCCGGCGATTTGACAATCCCCCCCCGTCAACAACTTCAAAATTCTGGGCTATATATAAAAATCGCTGGCACCCGAAAGTGTCTCTTGGATGCATTTTTGCACTTAGACAAATGTAGTTGGTGATCCCTGTACTACACCATACTACGCTAATGTTAGATGAAAAGTGACAGTTTGAACAACCTCATACTGAGTCAAAGGGTTGTGAAATTGCAACACCTGCCTTATCTAAAAATGTTTGGATCTCAACCAGCATGTCTCAACAAGCTCTTGAAATTGTAAGTACATGTGATCTGAAAATGTTAGCCTTTCAGCAGTGAAAAATAACCACAGCAGGAGAAGAAATCACTTACACAACTCCTGCCAGCCTCTAAAGGTTATTATTGCAGGCAGTTAAGATCCCACGATTTACATTCCCCTAATGAAAATTCCTGCAGTCAATGAATAACCCTCTGGAAGGGGGGGGGGAGATACTGTGAGAGATCTGACCAACAGGAGGAGAGGACAGCGTTTTCATTTGGGCTTAATGTAGCGGCTGGTCATCAAGAAATATCACCAGCATATGCCCAGCTAAGATAATAATAAAACCAATTACTGCTAATATTAGCTAATAATATCTTTCCTACTTGGGTTTGCCTTGCTGTCTTTCAGGCATGGCCTCCCACACAGCGTACAGTATGTCACAAAGTCGATCAAACGTGACTGTCGTGTAGAACAAAAAAACACCTCCTTAGAGAAACCATTGCTAGACGCCAACCGAAATAAAGCACCGAGGGTATTAGTAGTTGGCCGTGAAAAAAAGATACAAACAAATAAAAAAAGAGAAAGGACATAAAGATGATGATGTATCCTACATATCTGAAAGAGACTGGCTAAAAAGCGGGAAAGCATAATAAGTGAGACGAAGAAATGACAGTGGATATAAGAAAGAATCAAACATCTATCATTATCCATTCACACTCCTGCAGCCCTGTTAGGGTAGATTTACCAAGGCATACATTCAGTCTGTTCAGCTGTGTTTAAACGCCTGTGTAGTGTCTATATATGAAAATCACTACCAAGATTTTTTCTTGGGTGGTAGTGGCTCAGCACGGATAATGGTCGTCCACCAATGGGAAGTCGAGGTTTAATCTCCAGCCCCTGCAGTCGACATGTTGAAGTGTCCTCAGGCAAGATACTGAACCCTAAATGGCTCCCGATGGCATGGCAAATGGTGTATCAATGTGTGTAAATGCTTTTGAATGTGTGTGGATGTTTCCCTGAGCAGGTGGCACCTTGTGTGGCATCCTCTGCTTCAGTCTGAATAGTTGAATTCTGACTTGTGTATGCAAAACTACTTTGAGGAGTCGCAAAGACTGGGAAAATGCTATATAAATGATGTTTATTTAACATTTTCCATTCACACCGTCTCAAAAATGCCATCGCCAAAAAGTAGAACTGTCATTCTTTATGGTAAAGAGTGGGATTTAGGGTTCTTATTAGAGCTATTGTATTACAGTTAGAATAAGCCGGCAATAAAAGTCACTACAATGGCACCCACAAGTATATAAAGAAGCACATTTGTGTGCTTGTGTGTCAGTTTCTGTTATCAGTGTGAGCCCAGCTTGCTGTATTAAGGACAGAATGATTAGAGAGGACAGGAGGCGGGATAAGGGCCCGATAATGAGCTGTGTGTGCATGTGTGTGTTTATCTGGATTATGCCATTCACTTCTCATGTGCGGGGTGTATCTGTATGCCAGTGAATGCGTTTTGACGTAGATGTGGGATGCTATCATTGTGTGTGTGTGTGAGTGTACGTGTGTGTACGTGTGTGTGTGTGTGTGTGCACGTGTGTGGGCATCCTTTCAATTGTGCTTCTTCACCCCTGTCAAACAGCCATTGTGGAGAGAGGGATGGAGGAATGGATAACAATTGTAGTCGAGGTCTGTTGGGATGTTGGCTGGAAGCAGCAGCCGGGGGGGAAGAGAGTGTGGGGGAACGAGGTAAAATATGGCGTTAAGAGGACATTTGGATGCATAATAAAAAATGCAGGTGGACATGGATGTAGGTGTAAGAGGGGAAATAGGCATTTTAGTGTGGAAGAACTTGAAGTAGGTGGATTTAAGAGAAAGAGGACAATTACATAAGAGGCAGAAAGGGCCAAATACTTCAGCAAAAGCAGAGGTATAAAAAATGTTTATGTGTATAAGTTATTACTATAAAACAAGCCCAAATGTATTGAAGGCCTATATTTGTGTTGCTGCTGCCGTGCATAACTGCAGACTTGTGGTTTTCTCATTTTCTGTTCCGGTGCACAATATGAATGACCATGGAAACACACTCATTTGCATTTTTGGTGAGTTCAGAAAAAGCTTGTTCCTTGAATCCTATGATAGCTCCATTCTGTATAATTTGATAGGTACATGGATGTGAATAAAAAACGTTTCTGTTTGTAATCATTAATGTCAGGTTTGGCTCTTTGCTGATAACAAAATAAAGTTCGGCAAGGGAATGGTTTTAACCCTTTTTGCTCTTTTCCTCTATCCCCTCAACCACAATATAGTCTAAGGCAAATTACTGTCGTGCACTTTAGTCTGTATTTTCATATTGTGATCAGTTGAGAAGATATTTATTAAAAGGAAAAATTGAAGAAACATTTCAGTGCACTCACGATGACAGAAACTAATGATTATTAAATGTTAAATACATGTTTTTAAAGGTTGGACAACAAATAAGGAGCATTTCTTTTTTTAGTATTATTTGTATTTGCTCTGGCTGCTGGTCTCTTTCTAACAAAACGGATGTCCTTTAAGCCTGATCCAGCAGGGCCAGTTATTTATGTTTGACACAATAAAAATAAATAAAAACAATCACGCAAATAACTATGCAATTATGGCAGAAATTGACCACCAAAAAACGTTCTACAGTGTATGTATAAAACATTGCTTCACAAGCCTTTTTCTAAGAAGACATTGTGCCATGCCACAGTAGGAAAGGCAGAGGTGTACATTATTGAATTGATGGTGGCTTGAGGGTCCTGGTGTGCATGCTCCTCCACCGTCACTGCTGACTGGGACACTAGTTAATGTTATTTGTAACATCTGTGCTTGTACTGCAACGCACCTCAAAGTGTCTGCTGTGTAAATGGCCTTCTGCTGTTATTTAAACTTCCTGAAGTTGCATTGCCAAAAGAAAATCTCGATTTATTCAATAAACTTTAGGTTTATTACTGTACTTGCTGTTGTGGGCGTTTGGGAACAGGTGGTTGGAGGTGCAATGAGCTAGAATACACACACACACACACACACACACACACACACACACACACACACACACACACACACACACACACACACACACACACACACACACACACACACACACACACACACACACACTCGCCTCCCAACAGTCCCATTTATCACGTTGTGATTACTTGATAGCCAAGCCAGTTGGTAGCCCATGTTATAATGTTTAGCCAGCTGTGACAGTTGGCCTAATGACTGTTTGGGGTTTATTAAATTGAGCGAAATCTGCTGGAAATGTGAGACTTGCCAGATTCTGAGAAAATCTATCAGGGTTGCAAGCAGGGAAAACAACCCACCACATGCAACGAGACGCAGGTGGACAAAAACAAGGCCTCTGGAAGTTGTTGATGTTGTAATTTAACTGCCCGGCTCAGGCCAGTAACAAGGCCTGTCAGACCCCCTGTTTTTTTTACAAATATACAGGATAACACAATGTTTTAACATCACATATCACAATCACAATGTGCACCAGATAATACATTGAGTGTTTTGGTTGCGCAGTGTGGGCACACCCACACTTTCTTCAATTAATTATTGAAAAGACAGCCACAGCCAATGTTTTTTTTGAGAGGGAGAAAGTGGGAGCAGAGCAAGAAAACTCAATGCGTGCAGCTCTATGGTGAAGTAAGATGTTGGCCGGACACCTACATACTGTAAACACATGTATAGGAATCACTGCTCTATGTCCAAGTCTTTTTATCTTAATACCAGATATTCTCTCTCTCTCTGTTTAACGCCATTGGATGAATGATTTTCAGTAGATTTCACAAAACGAACATGTATAGCAAATACCCAACCAAGTAAAGTTTGTGTGTGAAACACTGCCCTCAAAAGACCAACGCTGCGAGCTGTGTGTTTTACAACTTCAGTGATGTATGGTTGTTATGGGTGGAAACACTTTGTTGACAACACACTAGTTGATCAACAGACAACTGTTACTATTTATCTTATCGACTTATTTCTATATATCTTTTAACAAGCACACATCAGAAATTCTCTGTTCTCAGTTTCTCAAATGGGAGGATTTTCAGTTTTTCTCTTTTCCAAGAAAAACAGTCAATGATATCTTCATTTCATATGCTATTTGAAGGTGTCCTGTTGGGTTCATGAAAAATTATGGTGGGCTGTTCTTTACTTTCTCTTCTGACATTTAACAATCAGCAGATTGACAGTTGCAGCCCTAATTATTGAAAATGATTGCAACATTTGCCCAAGATAACCCTATATTCATAAAGTTATTTTGTACTTTTAAACGGGACTCATTTCATGCCAGTTTGTCGCAGTGCGTTTTCCGTGTTAGAGACTGATTTGACCACCTGAATGTCCTGATGTAAGACTGACATTCATCATACTGTAATTGACAGATGATTGCTCAACAGCAGTGCATTGATGATCAGTGCTGTCAGAAATTATATGTATACTTTCATATTATTAAATGATGTGTTCAAATGATTTATCTCCGCCACAAGAACAACTTCCTGCCTGATTGCTAGTATGCCCAAAGTGGCTCTTTGAGTGTCAACTTTGTTTACAGAGTTTACGCTTTATCTTTCGGGAAAAGCTGAGGTACATAAGCTGTCTGGCAATAAAAAAAAGGGGAATGTATTTGACGGATATAACTCTCAGTTGTACATAACTTGCCAAATTGCAGTCGACCCTTGAGAGCAAGTGGCCCCCGCATTCATATACATATTTAATATTTGTATCCATTGATATTGATTGACTGTTCCTTTCCCAGGTTTCTACCAGTGAGCGAGGAGACTGCCGTAGGAACCCCGGTGGGAGCCATCATGGCCGCTGCTGTCAATCAAACTATCGTCTACTCCATCACCGACGGCAACCAGGGAGGTGAGCAGACTTTGAGAAGGGCCTGTTTTGGGCTGCAGTTGGCTGAATTCACTGCAGATAAAGTTACTGGTTCACTTACCATAGCAAGTTATTTATGACTGCGAGTCATGACTGTGTTTGTATAAGTTTATGAATAACAATCTTTGTAAACCTTTTCTGGTATATAATAACAATAATTTAACAGCTTTACGTGCATCATTGCCACCATCACTACTGGAGAAGGCCAACTTTGACTTTGTCGACACAACCTGATCAAATTCATACAAGTATTAAATTGCATATTCATTTGATCAGATTTTGGAACCCTTTAATTGTCAAGTCTGGCCATGGTTTAGTCAGTTGGTCGTGTACTTAAGCTTCCTATATGTAAAGTTGCAATACACCACTTTTCAACTTCCTAGTGTTTCCAATTGGTGTTATTGTTGGCGCCACTGTTTCAAAGTCAACCGGATCGCTTTCCATTTATCCTCAGAGCTTGCAACTAGCGACAAATTCAGCCTTTTTCACATCATTAGGGAAAAGCAGGGAAATATGCTGTATTCTGATTCATTCCCAAGGCTCCTCCGAGTCCACAGATGTTCTGCTAACAGTACAGGGTCTGTGCAGGCAGTATGTCTCCCGCTGAGAGGAGGCTGTGGCGCAGTGGGCTAGTGTGTTGGTGTTCGGATCAGGGGAGCACAGGTTCAAACCCGACTGCAGTCAGCATGTCGTTGTATCCCTGGGCAAGACACTTCACCCCAAATTGCTCCTGTGGGGATTGCCCACAGTATTGAGTATGTAAGTCGCTTTGGATAAAAGTGTCTAACAAGTGACATGTAATGAAATGTAATGAGACCGAAACAACCACCAGCTTTATGCAAATCATGAGCAATGATCATCTGGAGACTTTTAGCTACTTTTGAGCTAATGCTAGACTCTTTCATTGAAAAAGAAAGCAACTCTGGAGGAGGAGATAGCCTCTGAATCCTTAATGTTCCCGGGGTATTGTGGAGAGCGAGGCTTTTAGGGAAACTGGTTTTAAGGCAGAGGGTGCTCATTTCTCTATGCTCATTACATTGTGCAATCAACGTTGACTTATACTGATGAGTGAAAGCTGAAATCTATTTCCAATTAAAAAAATTGTTGAAAGTTCTGTGAAAACACCTTCTTTTTAAAACTTTCCTTTAAACTAACTTACTACCAAACTGTTTTATTATATGTTTTGCTCTGTTTCTCCCTCTCCTGCTGTCTTTCTTTATCTCAGGTATGTTCGCATTAAATGAAACAACAGGAATGATTTCAACAGCCAAGCACCTGGACTACGAGGCCAACTCCAGCTACATCCTGAAGGTGGAAGCAGACTCAATGAGAGTGGTGTCCTCCAACCTCAGGGTCCCCTCTAAGAGTGAGTGCACGGTTGTGTTTGGGATCTCTCCTCCTCTAAGATTACACGACTAACTTTTGACATCGGGTTGCATCACCGCAGTCATCACAAGTTTTCTTCTCTCGAATTATCATTTCACTCACACTTTCTTTCTCTCTAAAGCTGTCTCTCATGTTCTCTACGTTTGACCTCTTCACCTTTTCTATACAGTTATTCGTCTTCGAAGACATGTTTCATTTGGCCTTGGCTGCTGCTGCTGTTACCTTTCACTAATCCCTTTCCTCTTTCTCAGTTGTCTATTGAACCTGAAGGCTGAACCAGATTGTTGTCTGTACGATTGCTTGCTGTTTAAAATGCTTTCTCATTGCCTATCAAATGCTGATATGCAATTATGCAACTGTCCACAATGCACTGATGAAAAGTGACCAAATAAAGTTGGTGTACAGTTTGGAAAAATGTAGATTTTAATCTGAAAAGTAGTTAGTGCTACCAAGAATCATTTCCAAATATGAGGACAGGGTCAGGTCAGTGTTAAGTTGTACAGAACATGCCGTAATCCTAAAACAGCACTAAGCCTTTTATATTTCTCTCACTTGGTACTTTTACTTTTCAATCCCTCCAATAATTAAATTTGATTTGAAGCTACTAAAAAAGGTTTTCACGGTTTTAATTGAAATTAAAGTGAGAAAGCTCTAATTAGTGCCTCATTCTTTCTTGTTTCTTTCTTATTTTAACTTTCTGTATCTGCTGGTTTCTCTCTTTTTTGTATTTCTTACTTACGTAAGATGTACCCTCATTCTTCCTAATTGATGCTCAACTCCCCAGGTTTCTTATGTTTACTTTAATTAAAGTGTTTACCACATGCCATTGTCATTTCAACACACTGTTGGAATTTAATTTTTAGGAAGTATTAAAACTGCAGATCAATGTGGTCATTAACAAAAGCAATTGTTTTTGGTGCGCATGTTAATCAAGCAGCAAATCAATAATGTTCTAACTGTGTTAATCCGGGTTCCTTACTCGAATCCTAAATAGACGTTTTGTTTTTTTGTCTTAATGGCTTTTTGATGGCTTTTGCTTACGCTGGTTTGTTTGCATAGTTCCATTTATTCAACATTGTTTTTGAAATGAGTTCTGTCTTTGATGAGTAACAGTTTGCATTTCACAATCCTGGGATTTGTATTTCCATTTTGGCACATGATTTCCACCCTTTTACACAGTTTGGTTGATGTATGATTGTAGTTTTACGTGGGTGTGATTCACAATTCCCTGTTTTTGGACAGATAAGACTGAATGTGAGTCAGTCTAAGTTGCTGAATATGAATGACACAGGCTCCTTGCCAAAATGTTCTGTACTGAATGTGCAGTTAAATTACAGTAATGTTGAAATCTATCATTTAAAATGGATTTACCATACAGTTTGTTTGAGTGTATACATCAAAATACAAGTGTAATAGTTGCAACCTTTGATTTTGAAACTTGCCACATACTTTTTTTAGACCATTCTTAAATACGTTTTACTTGGTAAGACCACGATGTTGTCAACGGTCATGACCAGTGAAGTTGCCCGATGTGTTTATCTCAAAAATGGGATCATGGTTCAGAGCAGGGTCACCTCCGCTGCAGCATCCTGTTCTTTATTTTCTCCACAGCACATTTTCAGTATTTCTCTTCTATCAGCTGTTAAAATGAAGCAAACAATCCTTCAGTCGTTTCTCAAACACTCTCCCCTGTTAAAGACTAACCCTAAGCATGCTGTTTTCAAAACATTATCTTTGACTGCTGCTTATTACTATTTTAATCTTGGAGATAATTGATATTTTAAACCAGGTTTTCAGTGCGTTTGCTTTAACTATCCATGACCTGTCTGTCTTTGTTTTGTTAAAACATTGCTGATCATTTCATGGAAATGTGTTTTAACTTTGGCTGCAGATATTCCACTAGGAGAGACTGCTCAATCATTGTCAGACCAATGTTACACTTGCCAACCTCTAATACCTATATAACAGGTAAGCAACAGCAGTGCCAATTTAGATAAGTAGTGTCTATATCACCTACAAGCAAAGATAGCAACAGCTGCTGCAATAATTATAGGTGTGACACCAGCAGGCAATGCAAAAGCTAGCAGCTTTTAATGTCCTCGCTGCGATGAGGCACAGGTTTGGTTGATGTTGGCTACAGGTGATTCTGTGTTGTCCATCGAAATTCATTTCCAACTTGATTGATGTTTTTCCCAAATACTGAACAACACGCTTGTTATACTCTTTCCTATGCTAGATGCAAACGTGTATCATAATGTTTAATTATTATGTTTTGTTGTCTCCTAGCCAACACAGCTAGAGTGGTAATCGACATCCAGGATGAGAACGACCACCCGCCGTTTTTCTCCAGACCTCTTTACATCGGAGGGGTCGCTGAAGATGCAAAAACGTTCACCTCCGTGTTGAAAGTACAGGTACAGAAATCACACACATCAAATCAAACCGCAGGGGGAGGTTAAAGTGTAGGAACATGTGGAAATATAATATTAATAATGAAGCAAAGCCTACTTGCTATGGTTTCAGTCGTCGCCACTGCTATTCAAATAGTCTTTCATAAGATCCAACTTTAGCATCCACCTTAAGGATGAGTCCCTGCTGTGGCTGAGATTATGTTTTCTTTGTGAGGAGCAATAATGTAAGGGCTGAGATGGCAAACAATCCATATGCACACATTCTGCTGTACATTAATACAATCATCTGTTCCAAGCTTACTTTATTACAATTCTTTAGGCTTCAGTTTGTAATATTGTTGCATGGATAGCTTTGAATACGCACTTGTGTCACCAGTTCCTACCTAAAATAATACCCCTTATTTTAATGTGAGACTCAAAATATTACGACGTGGACAGAAAAGTAGCCTTGACAGCTTTCACCTTTATTTAGCTCAGTGTTAATGTGCTCACAGTGCCAGTGAGGATTTGCGTGCTTGTTTACTTTAAATGAAGATAATATTCAGTCCGGTGAGAAACAAAATAAACTGCTACGATTATTCTCTGTTTCTCTCCCTCGACATCCACCTCTATCTCTGTGAGTTGACACATCTCTTTGTGTCTCTGTCTACTTCACCTAACTCTGGAGGATTTCATATCATTGTAAACAAGTTGAGCGACTCTCGTATCATTAAAATGCCTTTTAGGGCCCAAAATGGGTCATAGAGATCTCAGCCTCTATCTGAGAAGAAGCAATATGTTTTAATGAGCCCGGATGCCACAAGAGACTCCTGCGGGTTCTCCGGGAGAAAAAGTAGGCTCCATTGTATTTTATTACAGTTTTTAAGATCATTCTTAGATATGCCTGCTTCATTAGATCACACAGCGTGGGAGTGAAAGGGAAGATGAGAGAGTAAGGGAGTGAAAGCAACAAAGACAGTAGAGAAGGTGCTTTTTATCACTCGTATCGAATTATTTTTCGCAATACCTGAGGGCGGTGTGGTTTTGAATACGGATCGTCAGAGTCAAAGCTGGAGCTGGTTTACAGTAACATGCTCTAAAGTCATCTGACCTCTTTAAATACTTGAACTGACTGACAGGGAACACTAATAGCCTGCTAGTCGTCTCCATCACCACGGGGAGAGGCGGTAGATCTGGAGATTCGAAGGAAAAGCAAAGATAGATGGTTCGATAAAGAGAACTGACATCCTGCTGCGAGACAAACGGACTGGACAGGAGAAGACATGCATGATTCATGGGTGGATGGATAGGTGGATCGAGTTGAGGGGGGGGGTCGGGCTGGAGAGATGGACAGGGAAGCTCGCGGCACATTTGCTAACTTTCCGATGAAAGCGTGATTGAGACAAGAGGCGGAGGGAAAGTTTGAGCAATGTGCGTTTTCACTCAAGTATGGCTAATTCCATCACATCTGTCATGTGTCATATTGTGTGAGTGAGTGTGTATACCAAGAGGCTACAGTTGTAACCTGTGTGTATTGCTTCAACGCGTTTGAGTATGCTTCAGTCTTTTGTCCCCAGAGGCTGCAAGAACACACATATTGATCAGATTGCAGATTGATCCCACATTGGCAAACCTACTGAGGACCTCCCAAGAGTCTTTTGTTCCTCAAAAACCAATATTTCACATTTTCTTCCCAAGAATTGTGTCACTTCTCCCACCACGACGAATGCAAATGCAAGGATGTGCCCTTTAATCTTTCTCCAGCCTTTCCCTTACTCTTTTAAAAACGAATTTCAAACTTTCCTTTTCAGTGTGTGTCCATACCACAAAAAGCCCTGGGATTAAACAAAATTCAAGCAGCTGCATTTCTATAGGAGTGTTGCTCGAGGCTCTATAATACAACCCAGGAACTCAAGTTTAAATAATGCATCAGTTTGAAATGACAAAACGCCACAGCAGCAGAAATGATCCTGGAGCTTTCTGAGAAATTACCCAAGCATGAATCATTTTATACTCCATCATGGTCAACCCAAAGTGAAATAGTAGGAATATGAAAATCATGTCACAAAATAACTGGAATGGGATAAGTGCTCTTATCCATTCTCTTATTCGTGATTCAAATGTTTTCATTGTTGATGATTTTTGCAGCAACATGTGAGCAATTGTTTGCCTTTCCATCCATTGTTTGCCACAGCTGTGCCTTGGACATTAATGGAAGCATTTACTTACTTCAGTGTCTCACCAAAAATGCAGTCATCTTGTAAAAAAGCTTTCACATGAGAGGTGACTCATACTCATGTTTTAGTGGATTTCTTTTCAAAAAGGGCTAAACATTAGATGAGGAAGGCTTTGAAAGGACTGACATGTTTGCTTTGCACTTGCTTTCTTCTTGTAAGTGCTTTGTCAATATATATATTTGTTGAGGACACTGTCACTCAGCGCACATCATGGAGAAGAAAGACACAATTAGAGTGCTGCTTGTTAAAGGTTTTCTTTTTCTCAAAATTATAGCACTCATTTTTTCACTTAATCCTGCTTAGAGTTTGAATGCATGTGGATTTGGGACACTCTCGCTAGGTGCTATAGAAAAATAATCAGGTCTGTACTCCACACCTGTGCTATTTCAGTTCAAACAGGTGGTTGATATTATTGATGTATTGCTGAAAAGTTATCCTAACTGTGCCTCTCACCACTGCAAGTTACACGACGACAAATACATCTGTACATCTATTCTCAGTCCTCCCTTATTCCCTCGCCTTTTTACATGTATGCCTCCATATTTCCTTTATTTCTTCTTCTCTTTCCTGCTTCCACTTTCTCATTCCCTTGCCACAAAAAAATAATACATTTTTTGTTTCTTGCTGTTATAGCATTACCTTTGATGTGGTGGTTGTCTCACTGCAAAATCTGTAGTCTATACTGCCAGCCCTTCTTGTAAAGACCCGGCAATAAATCAATGCCTGTCTGAGTGTGTGTCTGGACGTGTGTGTGAGGTTTGTGTGGTGTGTGTGTGTGAATGAGGGAGAGTCTTGATAGTTAGCCAGAATGACAGAGCAGATGAATAGACCTGCATGCAGCACAAAGCTCCATTTTACCCCCTACTGGTGATTGACTGTGCTACATCAAGCAACAAACAGCAGGTGTATCCAAGAGAATAAAAGAAATCCGGAAAAAAGCAACATTATATAATATATAGGGATGGGTACCGAGCCCCGGTATTAAACGGGCCCCGGGGCTGAATTATTAAAGACCGTGGTACCGTTAAGCTCCGACGTTATCGGTCTTTTTATCGGTAC